TTTATTATTTTATGCATTTTTCACGTATAAAAAGTGTACCTGCTTTGTATATGCCACCCCCCTACTTTTTGGGCTTGAAAATTTTGGAAAAAAGGGGTGGCTTATACATGGGGAAATACGGTATCTGAATGAAAGTATAAAGAAGTAATTAAAATATCTGTGCCCACATCCTATAGCGATAAGTATTTTGATCAAGCTTTATTTTAAAAACCATTGTGGTTTCCCTACATTCTGGACATATGTCCTTTACTTCAGCCATTTCAGTATAGGAATCTTGATCATCACAATCCTGATCAACACATTAGGAACTCACGACACTCTGTAACTATAGTTTACAGTATTTTGCAGCTTGTTTTAATTTCTATGCCTACTTCCCTTAATCTTTTGTAATCTTGCCTTCCACACTGCAGCACTGTATCATTTCTTGATTTCAGAGATAGGAATAGCAAGTAATAGCTGTCATAGCAACTCCGCGGTTTCATGTTTGGCACACTGTAATTAGATGGTCATTATATCATAGCACTTGAATTATTTCAGCAAGCTAGTGGACATGGCCTCACTCTCTCATGAATGCCTACATGAGAAAACTTTCACGCCTTGTGACATCTGGCCTGGGACAAGCTGTGAGATATCAGTAAAGAAAAAAAATACAGATGGTTCTTTATCTCCATAGGATAGCATATGAAAAGTAATTCACAAGGAAAGAGTTGCCTGCTCACATAAGTTTAAATACTGTTAAAAACTCAAACTATTACGCCTGAAAAAGAGGGGCTTCTTTTTGAAAAAATCACTTCAGAATAGTAACTTCTGAGTTTACATAAGAGGAGGGAATATGCACATTAGGAATGCTTCAGGTATGTTTTTTTAAAAATGCTATAAAAGATGCAAAAAATGCAAACAAAACACTTGCCTGTGGCTGAGTAAATCAGCTAGTACAGTTTTGAGGCTCAGTTCCAAAGTTTTGCATGACTTCAAGGTGCATCAGCAGTTTACCAATTACTTGAATTTCATAAGCTGGCGTATTTTTTTTTAGAGGTATACTGTGTTTCTCCCGAAAATAAGATGTATCTCGAATATAAGCACTAGCTTGATTTTTACACTTGTATCTAATATAAGCCCCTCCCCCCCAAGTCCTAGTTAAGACTCCATCCAGTCAGTTGCATTTGGTTGCACAGGGTGGGCAAGGTGCATGAGTAAAAATCAAGTGGGGGTAGGAATGGGGGGTGGGGATTGAGCTGCTTACCTTCAGACAGTTGTAGCCAGGCCTTGCACACCCTGACACCTGCCTTGTCAGCCCACTTCTGTGTCTGTTCGCCGCTGCTCACGTTCGTCGCTGCTCACGTTCGTCGCCCCCAGTCTCCACTTCGTCATCAGAGGCCTTCAGAAAAGGCCTCTGCAGCTAAGAAACGGGCTCCGGATGGATGCACAAGGTGCCCCTGGCATTGTTTTGACCTTTCCTGAAGGCTTCTGATGGCAAAATGAGGCCAGGGAGCAAGTGGCCACAGAAGAAGTGGGCCAGCAGTGGGCTTCTGCTGGGCAGGGCTGTCATTACTGCTGCTGCTAGGTGAGTCATTGGAAGACATCCCCCCAAATAAGACATGGTGCCTTTTTTGGTGTCAAAAAAATATAAGAAGGGTTTTATTGGGGGGAAAACACGGTAGATGATTTAGACACTTTGGAGAGTGAAGGATAGGAATAATACATTGAAAAGGATAGCTCTAAAGTGAGGGGATAAAATCAAATTGAGTTTGGGATATGGAACTGAAGCCAAACAATTGGCAGTTTCTTTTATTTCCTTTTATTGTAACAAAGACTGGAACTGAGAAACTTTTTGCTTTGACAACCAAATGTCTATAACTTTCTAACCAGAAGATAAAAGGAGTTTTCTTTTGTGTGCTTGCAAGTTTAATACAAAGGGCTCTTTCAAGTTATCTTATAGAAGTGTCAACTGGCTGAAACTGTATCTTTTCACAACAGACTCTGATTCTGTGATGCCTTTTCTCATGCTAACATTTTCTTTTTTTCTACTTTTAATAAAATGCTCAGTTAGGTAATCAAGTGTGAGAAACGCATTCACCAATCAGAAATTTAACAGAGTCATTAAGTGAATCAGCAAGCAGTTTATTGTAAAATACTTTCTTGCAAGAGTGGATGGCTACCCAAGAATAGATTCCAACAACTTTTTATTTCTTCAGCCCGAAGCGCAAGTCCCTCCCTTGCAATCCCGTTTGACAAGGACCACAAGTTCACAATTTTCCCAGAATGCCTAGTTCCCATCTGTGAATTTCCTCATATTTATCTTTCTCCTCACCCTTTGCCCAGTTCTGGCTATGAGAAATGAAGTTTACACTCAGATTGTTGGAAATAACAAAATGTTTTATTAGAACTGGTAGATCTCCAAGTGTACAAGCAAGAGAGAGACCACACCGGTTGCAGATCTCAACATATTTTATACATTCCTATCATTGGCCGCTTGTCCATCCTTCCCAGATCCAGTTGATAGGACCAGGTCAGTCACGTGCTAACAGTCTGCCTATAATCTGCTATCACACCTAAGTGTTTAAAATTAGTTAAGTCCTTGTTATCACTAAAACTTGCTAAGCACTCAGCCTCTTCATTTCTCACCTTTTTGATATTTCCTTATCAGTTCTCTTGTTTATCTGTACAATGCAGTTCCCGGTACATATCTCAAGCCAGAAGCTATGTATGTCACTGCTTAGCAGAATTCATTCATTGAGTAAACATGACAGTACTTTAGATATGTAGTAGTATGGCTTTAAAATAATCTTCTATATATATATAAAATCTAAGTACCACTCACCCATCACGAAATTTCCAGAACCGTAAAGACTACAAACTTGAAATTTGGCACATATGTTCCTCTTGGCTTCTAGGTCCTTGCTAAGAAAGGATTTTTCGAAATGACCATCAGATCAGTAGTATTTCTTACAAAGTAATTAACATGATCTGATGCTAAGGAGTTCTACTCCCCCCCTCCGCACCTGAAAAGAACTCTATTCCAACTGCCAATGCCTTATATTAACACACTCTGATGCTAAGGAGTTAGATATTCTACTCCCCCTCCCCACCTAAATGGACTCTGTTCTATCTGCCAGTTGCCTCACATTCCATTACCTCAGTTCAAACTGGCAGTCATTCCACTCCTTCACTCAGGAGTGGCCTGGGGCTCCTTACAGTACTAAATGTTGGTACCTCACCAAACTATGCCTTCCACCTATTGAGCTGCTTCCAGACTCAAGGCGGGAACGATATTCCCTTATGTGTTTCAATTACTGACCACCACTGAACCAACAGATTGTGAACCGAATTTCTCCTGCATAGCCCGATCACTAAGTTTTGTCGCACAGCACGGGTATCCAGCTAGTAAGCTATATGCTAATCTATATTATGGAAAATTACAACTTATTATATTGTATCTCACACCCCTTTTCTCTAAACAACCTTTGCCCTCCCTAAGCTGGTTTCTTCTAACCATTTGCGTGCAATTTTGCATAACCTACAGTTCCTGCTTTCTCGTACACATCTCAAAGGGTACTTGCTTTTTGCAAAAACAACACTATCAGTTTCATTACATCATCAGTTACATTAAGCTTAATATTATAGGATGTTTAACTAACTGGCCATGTCTTTGACGTTGTTGATGAGGATTGCAATGATCACAACTCCTGTACTGAAATAAAAGACATATGTTCTGCGTATGGGGAAGGGTGATAGAGAAACCACAAAGGCTCTGACTTATCGCTATAGGACCGTGATGGCGAACCTATGGCATGCATGCCAGAGGTGGCATGCAGAGACCTCTCTGGGAACACAAGCAATCGCCCCAGCTTACCTCTGCCACGCATGTGTGCACGGCTCCCACCAGCCAGCTGGTCTTTGGGTTTCTGCCACACATGCCTCGGGGGGTGGGGCACATGTATGGGGACATGTGCACATGCGCGGGGGGCACATTCATAGGAGATGCACACATGCGTGGAGATGCATGCACGGGGCGGGGCACATGTGCAGGTGATGCGTGTGTATTGCATTTTCGAGGTGCATGCACGCTTTGGGCACTCGGTGCCAAAAAGGTTAGCCATCAATCACTGCTACAGAAGAGGCTGTATTTCCTGAGAGTGCTCAGGAAGATATATCTATCTCAGCATCTACTTCTGTCCTACTACCACAGCATCATTGAGAGTGTCCTGACATGGCATACTTGCATGGTATGGGAACAGCTCTGTAGCGGACAAAAAGGCTTTACAGAAAATCATTAAAACTGCCCAGAATATCATCAAGCTCCAGCTAGCAGTCCTGGATGACATCTTCGCATCTCGCTGTTTGAGGAAGTTGCACAACATTCTCAAGAGACTCTTCCCATCCTGCTTACAATCTTTTTGAACTGTTGCCTACTGGCAGAAGATTCAGAACAATTAAAACTTGGACTACACGTTTTCTGAATAGTTTTTATCCCAGAGCTATAATTACATTTACCAATGAACTTAAGGACCACCATCAGTGGACAGTATTACTTGGTCTGTTGTGCGGATACTTGTGTGTTTTTAGGGGGCAGGGAATTTTGGCGGGTGGGGGTATGTTGGGGAATTGTGTATGTCGTGTTGGGTCTGGTCTCTGGGTATTATGTGAATTTTGCTGTATGTGTATACTCTATACGTACAATGACAAAGAAGTATTATTGTTATTATTGTTATTATCATAGGATGTGGGCACAGATATTTTAGTAATTTCTTTTACTTCCCTACAGAGAGCTGTGTTTCCTGCTCATGTAATGAAGTACAGTATAAAAGTATGTTAAAGAAATCATTTTCCCAGCCTTATGGAGACCTATCTTTGTCCAAATCTGACTCAGGCTATGACTCAGAGAGAATTGGACTTTGCCTCTTTGTTGGCGCTGAGCCAGATCTAGTACACCTAAATAACAGTATAACTGGGCAGGATGATTTCTTCCATCCAATCAACTGTTCTTTTGTACTTTTTTCCTGCTGTACTGAATACAAAGGGAAATTTGAGTCTTTGTCACAGATTCCCTCTTTTTATACAGAGAAACCTTTTTGCTAGAGCAATTAAAATAAATGATCTTCCACTTAGATAACTAATTGGAAAAAATATGCTGAGGCAGAATCTAGAGCCAATTTTGGTCCTTATAACAGAGAGCTGGATAATTAGAAAGTGAACAGGCAAGTTAAGTGGGTGGGGTGGGAGAAAGGACTTCATTTAAGTGAAGCAGGAATCTAAATCAAATTGAATTTGTAGTAGTCCTAACACCAAAATAATGCGAGGTTTGGACGAATTTGTGTAAATATATAGGAGGCTGATTGAAAATGATTAGCACTGTAATGTGTAAATAGTTTAAGCCCTTGAAGATTCAATATAAGAAATATCAATCTTAATTATGGTTTAAAATATCAATAATCATATTGGTAGTCCTTGAATTATAATCATAATTGAGCCTGTAAGTTGTAATGGTTGTTAAGCAAGGTGCCCATATGACCGCCTAGCTTAATGATCCCCACTCCTGCTCTTAATGATCCCAATTCAGTCATTAAGCAGAGCACAGTGTGCCCCAGGTGGGGGAGGCCTTTGGAGGACTAGAAAGGCCTGGTCCTGCCTGCCTGCCCCAGTCCTCCCAAGGTTTCAGCCTCATGCTGTTCAGCAAGCAGGTGCTATTCTCAAGATCTTTTGAAAGCTTCTGTTTTAAGGACTGAATCTCCTTAAAATGGAGTCTGCTTAAAAATAAAGCCTTTCACTGGCTGTTGAAACCAGCAGAAAAACAGAAAGATAAGTTAGATGTAGATGCGGATGGTCCCTGGAGCTGTCTGAGTGGCTGGGTTGGGAGCAGGCTGAGGCCTGCAAGCTACAGCAGCCTCACATATATGCCAGTAGCCTCTGCATCCAGTTTGAGGTTCTCTTGAGTGGTTAAGTGCCTGCTTTTTAAACAAATATATTTATTTGTATCCACTTTTATTTTTACAAATAATTGAAGATCATGAAAATACCCAGCATGCCTTTCTCCTCCTCTTTTACGAATACAAATATGTGTCCCAGAATAATGTTGCAGGATCCAATCTGGGTCAGTAACCGGGACCATATTTGTATTGCCACATTCTGGTGAGAGAGAAGTTCCCTGAGTGTGAGAAGTGTTAAATTAAAGCATCCTTTTTTTTTATGACTCAAACCTCATGTTAAAAGGAATGTCTTTGAAGGAAGGGAGGTTCCAGGCACCAATTAAAATGTTGACTGATCTTGGAATGTCTTTGAAGTGCCAGTGTAGCAGCAAATCGTGTTTCCAAAGCAGGACACGAGACCACAAAAGGTGGAAGAATACAGGTTTATTTGCGCAAAGCGTTCAGAGCATTAGCATGACAAATTCTGAACTCCCGATTCTCATTCTAGGCAGTTCCTTTATACCTATTGTGACTTCAGCCCAAGTCTGGGCGTTCATCTTTGACATATTTACCAAATATGGACTACCGTGCTTACAAGATAATACAGAAAACTTGCAAAACATCTTTTTCCAAGAAGGAACCAGAAAGAGGATATGATAAACATATTTTGCCTATTCCGTTATCTTACACCACCAGATACTTTCCACGCCCACCCTTGTTTACAGTGACAGCTACATTGTTAGTTCCTTAAACTTATAGATTACTTAATATATGAGCAAGCTAAAGCAAAGGCCCTCTGACCTTCCTATGGTTGTGACTTGTGACCTATATAGGGTAATGATATGATCAACAGTGCTATTATTTTATATGCCTTCTTGGTCCTGCTTCACCAGGAACTAATTGAACTATTAAATTTTATTGGAATGTCTTTGAAATGCCAGGTACTGGTTGTGTATGATATGTTGATGTATGCTCTCGTGTTAGGAAGTGCTTGCTGCACCATATAAGGTAATGAATTGTAACCTGTGTTCTGAAAGGTAGATTGTAAACCAAGCCATTTGCATAATGGGGCGGTAGTTTAGGGTATAAGAATAGAGCAAATGCTATCCTTTGTGTTCCTCCCAGCTGCCAAGGGTGGGACCCATATCTGCAGATGTGTATTCAACAAAGCCTTTTTCCTTGGATCAACTTTGAATCCTGGTGGTCTTTTGAGCCGCCACCTCACATGAGGATGGGCTCCATCACAAGTCCAAAAGCTTGGAAGACTAAACTTCTGATCCCGGTAACCGACCCAGATTGGATCCTTCTCTTTTACCTACAATAACGATCCAGGAGGTGAAAGAGAGTAACTGGCTCAAAGTCACCCAGCTAGCTTTCATGACTAAGGTGGGACTTTAATTTATAGTCTTACTGACCTAGGGTCTTAGCCACTAGACCAAACTGACTCTCAACAGGCAAATGTACACTGGTAGTCTCTGGAGCTGACTTGAGGCTCTCTCAAGTGACTAGTTTCATCCATTGGGAGCAGGCTGAAAGCCTGTGGAGACCTGGCAGGGCAGAATAGGAGAGAAGATTAGCAGGGGAGGCTTCTATAGCATCCCTGCAGTCAATCGTTCCGTTGTAAGGGTGATTGGCTGCAGGGACTCTGCAGTGGCCATAAATTTGAAAATAGGTTGTAAGTAGCTTTTGAGAATGTCCATTGTAATTTTGAATGGTTGCTAAGTAACTGATAGTAAGTAAAGGATTACTTGTAGTATTTAGCTTCTTCATCCAGAATCAAGCATAACAATATAAAATATTTTGTGGGTGGTATCAAAGTGTTTGTTACGATAGAGAAGGCTCACTTCTCCAATAAAAAGCTAATCCAAATTTTGGGACAAGATACAGATCGTAGCTAGCAAAATTGAACCCGAAGCTTATCATATGACAAGGCATAGACGGAAAGGAAGAATGATGAATTGCAGATATCATAGCTAAACAAATTGTTGAATTAAGTTTTTGGATGAGATACTCCCTTATGAATAGGTTAACACTTGTTGCAAAAAAATTGTTATGATTTGCCATTAAACTCTGTCTAAATTATAGTTTTCTTCAGTGTTATACAGAATTGCAAAAGCTGTTGTTATTTGGACACAGGAAATCTCTTGTGACATCAGATATGCTCTGACTTGTGATAAATACTATATAAAACCACAAATTCAGCACTGGTTGGTACTCTCCCTGGTTGGGAGAGATCTTATGGATATCACCATTGTATTCTTACCTAATGTTTGTATACTAAAAATTGATATACTGTTTGGGTGGCTATATAAATATAAATTTTAAACAAACAAACAAATAAATAAATAAATAGGATGTGATATGTAAAATTACATATTAAGGATTATACCTGGGAAAATGAGAAACCTAAATAATAACGCCATATTTATTCTAGCAATGACCTATGGCAATATTCCTGGAATATTATTGGAATGTTAAGTAATGATTATATAAATGTTATATTCATCACAAAAACAAGGTTGTTTTGTACTCTGAAACATGTTTAATGTGTTATTGTATGCTAAAATGAAGAAATGCTGATGTTAACACTAGTATCCTAGAATAGACAATCTGCCAAACAGAATATAGGATACGCCATAAGAACTGGAGTTGTCTGGAAATGAGATAGGTGAGTGGGTGGTGGTTACTGGAAAATTACCCAGTAGACCCAGGGAATTACCCAGGGAAACAGGATAAGGTGATGTTAACAGAATCTTGTGTGCAGAAGTATATAAAAGTCTCCAACATGATTTTGGGGAGGGATCTCCATTTTAGGGAGAAGGGGTCCTGGCCTTTGCAAATGCTAAATAAACAAGCTCTTTATTGTTCCTGGTCTCCTGTTGCTTTTTTGATTATTATCACAGATAACAAAATTTTTGCCCAAATCAGAACATTGTTATGGAATGTGAAACCTGTTAACTTTGCTATGTTAGTGCTAGCATTTAAAAATTCTTAAATGTAGTGTGTGACAAGGTGATACCAGAAATGTTCATTTAATTTATATGGGACTAGGAAGAAATAGCTTATAAAATAGCATTTTGATAAGGAGCTGTATGGTTTCATTTGATGGACATACATGAAATTGTATGATTTCTTTTTTCTCTTAGATTCCTGAAAATTAAAAGAACTTTCAGCACAATGGACTGGAATGTCGGGACAATCAATAAGATGCAAACTCATGGATCCTACATGATGCCCCAAGTTACTTCTGCTGCTTCTGTTACTTCCCAAACAAATGTCTTAATGCAGGATTTTTGTAATTCTAGAAACAGCCAAACCACAAATATCCGATCAAATGTGAAGTATATGTTGACAAATAAACAACAATTTCAAAGTAAGAGGGCTTCTAAAACCTTAAGGCCAGTATTTCCCAAAGTAGCAGTGTCCAAAACAAGTTTTGGACTAAACAATAATTTTTACAATTTGTCACCACCTTCACTTTCCACCGTGACAGTCCAAATGGCAGCTGATGTACAGAATCCAGATTCATCAAGGAACATGCATATCTCTTCCTCTTTACCAGTACAGGGAAGTACAGTTAATTCTGTGCAAAATATGCATCAAAAGACAAATACCTATATAGCTGTGGGCAGTTTCAGTAATCAGACACTGCAAGATTGTTCAAATTCTATGGGAACCTCAGTTTATCAGCAAGATCTTCTAAATTCTTCATCTCCAAAAAGGGCCCTAACACAGATGCCCTACTATTACATGAATGGGCCTACCTCTCAAGTAGATGCTAGAGTGTCCCTTAACTCTGCATCAAATTATTATTTACCTCCTCAGCAAAATGTCCAGTATCCTGATTACTCTTCAGCAAAGAAGTGCCCAAATTCAGCTATTCCAGTAACAATGCAATCACAACCTTATGTTTCTTATCAAATAAATCCACCATATCAAATTTATTCTCATTATGATTACGGGAATGCTGTCCAAGCTACTAACATATCTCTATCAGACTCGATAGTTCCCACACAAGGGAACCATGGACAATTTGTTCTGCAACAACCAGCTGCAATTTTATCTAATGAAAAAGTTGAAAGTTATCATAATTCTCTGATTGATCAAAATAGCAATTTATATTCTGTTCGGCCTGATCAGAAATCTCAATCTCTGTCATTCTGTACAGAAACAAATGTGGTAGGCCCCACTGCTGATAATGTAAGTGGACTAAAAACAACAATGCAGCTTTCTAATGAATCAGTAAAGTCATATGTTGAAGGTAATTTTTCTAACAGTATACCAACAATTACAACAACTAAGGCTGCTGAACCTTTGCAACAAACAAAGAAAACTTTGCAATTAGAAAAGAACGTAAGTAATGAGAATTTATCTAAGGATAAACTTAAAATAACTAGAGAGAGTTTATCACTAGATGTTCAAGCCTTGTATGAAATGAGAAATGCGTTATTAAAACTTAAAGACAATTTTAGTTTAAAACAAAAATTATATTTATCTTCTCTACAGAGTGGGCAGACCTCTAATACATCCATAAACAATCAAAATCCTAATAATTTACTTCCTCATGATACCAACCCATCAGTAAAATGTACTGACCAGCAGATTCTCTCAGATAAAGTCACTCCAAATCAGTTTTCATCTAATTCACACAATTCTTCAGTTGTACCGCAGAAAACAAAGTATCATTTATTGCCAATTCTGTGGAATATGCTGAAAGGTACTGATGATGAAAATATGTTATTTAGTGCTGATGTTGAAAGTGGAGATAAATACCAAAATAAGCATTTTATTGTTCAACAGAATTCATGTATTGATTCTAATGGTGATACATTTGGAAATCCTGTTAACACTGATGGAACTACTAAATTAAGCTATAAAAACTCTCCTGTTCATTCTAGTCAGGGAACAAACATCATTAAATCTGCTCATAATCAATTGGAGAAAATATCAGCTGTACCTAACGGTGACTTATTTAATTCTTCTGAACAGAATAAAGATTCAGAAAGGGGTGGTGTTCAGTATTTAAATGATGGCATTCAGAGTTTGGTTCAGAATCCAGATGTTTCTCAATCATCCTCAATGAAAAAATCAATAAAAGAAGAACATGGTAATTCTACTCCTGCATGTCACATTCAGCATAGTGAAACTACTTGCCTTCAGAAACCTACGAATAGTGAAAAGATAGCTGATATGTCTAGTTTTTCTATCTCCAAAGGAGTTGAAGCTATTACTGGGACTCATGGTGTAGAAAGAACTTGTTCTTTGGAAGAACTGAAAACAAGCCTGGCTCTATGGAGAAAATGCCTCCCAAAATCTTTAAATGAACTAATAAATGGAAATAATGAATCTTCCAGTGATGGGATGGATGGCAAGGGTACTGCAAAAACTTTGGAAAACCTCCCCAATATATTGACTCAAAATTACGACACTAAAATTACAGTCGAAAGGACTCAGATTTATGGTTCTTTTGAAAAAAATCTTGATGGAGTAAATTCCAATTTGCCAAAAGGCTCTGAACCTCAAGTAGCTGTAGTTACTCCACGGATATTATCAAAAAATAATGATGTACAGAAAAACAATGAAAGCATTTATCCAGCTACCGATATTGAAGGCACTGTCCATACTTTAGAAAAAGCTATATCTACAAAATCAGATAGTAACAAGGAAAAAAGAACTATTTACTCACCTACACATTCCTATAAATATTGTGATTTAAATGAGCACCAGGGAACAAACAAACCCACAGGAAATAATAAAATAGTGAAAGAAGTTGGAACAAATCAATCTTTTGATTTAAATCAAGAGAAAACAAATTCCTCGCCACTTGGATTAAAGCAATATGCCCTCAATTCAGGAGACCAACATCAATGTGAACTGATCACTAATCATTTAATTGCATCTCCTCTAACATGTGTAACATCAAAAAAACATGGCCCAAATTTGGATGAATCCAACAATACTGCTGACATTGGGTTGAAAGACAGTATGTTGCAAATAGCTAGTGTATGTACTCTTGTACAGGGTGATGCATTTTATAATTCACAAATAGCAGACATCTTTAGCGCTAGCCTTTCGAAACCTGATATAAAGTTTGAAATTTCAGAAGAACACATGCCTTCTCTACAACACAATGAGGACAAATCTGGCCTTTTGAAAAATGATCCTGAAGTTGGAATGAGTCTTTCAGAGGAAGAGGGCATATTGCTACCATCAGGAAGTTTATCCAAAGCTTTATCAGGAAATCTTGAAGACTTGCAAACATTAGAAAGCCCTCAGTGTGACAAAACCTCCGTGGAAACAAATGCAAGCAACTCTGAGAAACAAAAGGACAATGACTTTTTAGAAGTTGCTTCACTTTCAGGAAAAAAAAATGAGCAAGATATATCTTATGGTTGCAGTATGGATTTGTCCAACAACGAGGTGTTTGAAAATCAGGACAGTCTGTGTGAGACAAACAACATGTCCAGTATTAGAAAAGCAGGTGACTCAGAGCATACCCTGGATAAAGGCAAAGAAGCCCACTTGGAAAGCAGCACTGAATCCTCCATAACATTTTTGAACAATCAGCTAACTGAGCTTTCAAAAGAATTTCCTTATGGAATTGGTTATTTGAATATGGTAAAGGAAATAGAAAACAAAGATTCTATAACTATTCTAACAGAAAGAAAAGATAAAGAAAACACTATAAGGCATGAGAAAAGTCTTGATCCTAGTGATGCAGTAGACCAAATTAAAATAGTAATCCTAAATTCTCAACAGATGAGTGAAGTGTTTCCTGAATGCAGTCAACAATCCTCTAACAAGCTAGTTAACCATGGAGGTGACCAGATGAGAATGGATTCAAAACATAATTTCAGTAAAGATATAGGACACTACAGGAAGTTTAACCAGGACTTAAATGTTGATAGCAAAACTGTCAGGTCTGAAAGACTTGCTAAAACAGAACGAACATACTGCTGCTTGCCAGGATGGTTAGCTTCAAAATATAATGTGGAGCCTTGTTCGTGCATGCTAGCTAAAGAACCTGGTTTGAAGGGAAAAACTGATTCACAGTCTAAAGAGAGATCAAAATCCAATGAGTCTGATTGTAGCCTTAAAAATGAAGTACAGAATTCCATATTGGATACAGGCAATAATATCTTTCTTTTGGGAGATCAGAGTAACAAAGTTTTAACTAAGACTTTGGGATGTAAAGAAACTGAACCTCAGGTAAAGGAAGATAAACTACCCAAATTAGAGCAAACAACTACTCCATGTTATTTATTGGAAAAATCAAATTCACAAGAACCTAAAAAGCGGGGTAAAAAACTGTCTCATTCTATGGATTCCCAGTCTCTACAGAGAGAAAGAGTTGGAACTAATAACATGCACAAGAAAAATGGTGGAAGGAGTATGTCAAAAAGTGAAGCACAGTATCACTTAAATACAGACTTCAAAAAGATAATTATCAAAAAATTTGCCAAAAAGAAATTGGAGAAAAAGTCTTTTAATAAAACTCCAAAATCAAAAACAGATATTGATCGCCACAGAGGAATAGAAACTAAGCTTAGTGCCAATTTTGAAAAATACAAAATTAAACGAGATACTAGTGAAACACACATGATTAAAGGACCAGTTTCAAGCAGGAGTCTAAAGAGAAAAATGAAAGAGAAAAAGCTTAAAGCATTGGAAACTCAGCCTAGTCAGGTCATGCCCTCTTCAACATTAAATAGTGTTAGCTTTGCTTCTGAAAAACATGAAAATGTTGAGCATAACTCTACCTTGGGCTCGCAAGAACATTTAAATAAAACAAAATTGAAAGATTTGGAGAAACAATATGGATACAAAAAAGTACAATATAATGAACCCATTTGTCCTAAGCAGCCTGTTGAAAAAAATATCACACAGCTTGTTAAAAGAATAAATCTAGAGCGATATGCATACAGAAAAGATAAGACAAATGCATGGAAATGTCAAAGCTCACATTTCAGTAATAGAATTCCTGCATCCCAGAATGAAGGAGATAATCCTTCCAATGTATTTGAAGTCCACTCCCCAGTCAAAGAAAGCACATTGGATAATAGTAACCCAGACAAGTGGTCTGTAAAATCACTTTCTGATAAAAAATGTTTTA